ATTGTGGCAATTGTTGAATTTGAATTATCAGTATTTGTTCAACTTGATTGATTGGCATCTGTTGAACTTGGGTTTGATGTTTTAGTTGAACTTGAGTATGTGGCGTTTTTTGAACTTGAATTTGTGGCAATTGTTGAACTTGAGTTTGTGGTGTTTGTTAAACTGAAGTTTGTGGTGTTTTTCGAACTTGAGTTTGTGGCATGTTTGAACTTGAGGTTGTGGCAAATGTTCAAATTAATTTGATGGTGTTTGTTGAAGTTGAGTTTTTGGTGTTATTTGAACCTAAGTTTTTGGCCTATGTTGAAATTGAAGTTGTGGAATTTGTTAAACTAGAGTTTGTGGTGTTTGTTGAACTTGAACTTGGGGCATGGTTGAACTTGGGTTTGTGGTGTTTGTTAAGCTCCAGTTTGTGGCAATTGTTGAACTTTAGTTTGTGGTGTTTGTTGAACTTGAGTTTGTGGTGTTTGTTAAACTGAAGTTTGTGGTGTTTTTCGAACTTGAGTTTGTGGCATGTTTGAACTTGAGGTTGTGGCAATTGTTCAGATTAATTTGATGGTCTTTGTTGAACTTGTGACTTTGGCAATGTTGAAATTTGAATTATCAGTATTTGTTCAACTTAAATGATTGGCATCTGTTGAACTTGGGTTTGATATTTTAGTTGAACTTGAGTATGTGGCGTTTTTTGAACTTGAATTTGTGGCAATTGTTGAACTTGAGTTTGTGGTGTTTCTTGAACTTGAGTTATTCACATGTTGGATTGTGAGTTTTTGCAATTGTTAAACTTGAGTTTGTGGCGTTTTTTGAACTTGAATTTGTTGCAATTTTTGAACTAGAGTTTGTGGTGTTTCTTCAACTTGAATTTGTGGTGTTTGTTTACCTTGAGTTTTTGCTGTTTGTTGAACTTGAAGTTGTGGCACATGTTGAACTTGTATTGGTGGCTTTGTGAACTTGAGATTGTGGCATTTTTTGAACTTGTGTTTTTGGCATTTTTTTAACTTGAGTTTTTGGCAATTGTTGAACTTGAGTTTGTTGCATGTTGGATTGTGAGTTTTTGAAATTGTTCAATTTTTAAACTTGAGTTTGTGGTGTTTATTGAACTTGAGTTTGGTGTTTTTTAAACCCAAGTTTGAACTTGAGTTTGTGGCATTTTCTTGAACTTGAATTTGCGGCAATTTTTGAACTTGAGTTCATGGCTTTTCTCTTACTTCAGTTTGTGGTGGTTGATTAACTTGAAGTTGTGGCACTTGTTAAACTTGAGTTTTAGGTGTTTTGTGCAATCAAGTATCGTGGTGTTTGTTGGACTTGAGTTTATTGTGTTTGTTGAACTTGAAATTGTGACGATTGTTGAACTTGAGTTTGTGGTGTTTGTTGAACTCGAGTTTGTGGCATGGTTGAACTTGGGTTTGTGGTGTTTTTAAGCTCCAGTTTGTGGCAATTGTTGAACTTGAGCTTTTGGCGTTTATTGAACTTGAAGTTTTTCGCATGATGGATTGTGAGTTTTTGCAACTGTTCAATTTTTAAACTTGAGTTTGTGGTGTTAATTGAACTTGAGTTTTGGGGGTTTGTTGAACTTGAAGTTGTGGCAACTTTTGAACTTGTGTTCATCACTTTTGTTGAACTTGAGTTCATGGCTTTTGTTGAACTTGAGCTTGTGGTGTTTGTTGAACTTGAGTTTGTGGTGTCTGCATTTGAGGTTTTGCTATTCGTTAAACCCAAGTTTGTGGCAATTGTTGAACTTGAGTTTGTGGCATTTGTTGAACTTGAAGTCGTGGCATTTGTTAAACTTCAGTTTGTCGTGTTTTTTGCACTCAAATTTGTGGTGTTTCTTGGACTTGAGTTTACGGTCTTTGAACTTGAATTTGTGACGTATGTTGAACTTGGGTTTGTGGTGTTTGATGAACTCAAGGTTGTGGTGTTTGTTGAACTTGTATTGGTGGCTTTGTTGAACTTGAGATTGTGGCATTTTTTTGAACTTGTGTTTCTGGCATTTGTACATATTGAAGTTTCGGCAATTGTTGAATTTGGGTTTGTGGTGTTTGTTAAACTTGAGTTTGTGGTATGTTTGAATTTAAGTTCGTGGTACAGTTGAACTTGAGTTTTGGTGTTTGTTGACCTTGAGATTCTGGCTTTTGTTGAACTTGAAGTTGTGTTATTTGTTGAACTTGAGATTGAGACGTTTTTTGAACTTGAGTTTGTGGCATTTTCTTGAACTTGAATTTGCGGCAATTTTTGAACTTGAGTTCATGGCTTTTCTCTTACTTCAGTTTGTGGTGGTTGATGAACTTGAAGTTGTGGCATTTGTTAAACTTGAGTTTTAGGTGTTTTGTGCAATCAAGTATCGTGGTGTTTGTTGGACTTGAGTTTATTGTGTTTGTTGAACTTGAAATTGTGACGATTGTTGAACTTGAGTTTGTGGTGTTTGTTGAACTCGAGTTTGTGGCATGGTTGAACTTGGGTTTGTGGTGTTTTTTAAGCTCCAGTTTGTGGCAATTGTTGAACTTGAGCTTTTGGCGTTTATTGAACTTGAGTTTTTGGCAATTGTTGAAATTGAGTGGCATTCGTTGAATTTGAGTATGTGGTGTTTTTTGAACTTAAGTTTTTGGTGTGTGTTGAACTTGAGTTTGTGGTGTTTTTTCAATTCCAGGTTGTGGCCTCTTTTGAACTTAAAGTTGTGGCATTTATTTAACTTAAGATTGCTGTGTTTTTTGAACTTGGATTTGTGGTGATTGTTCAACTTGAGTTTGTGGGAATTGCTGAACTTGAGTTTGTGGCATTTGTTGAGCTTGAAGTTGTGGTTTTCGTTCAACTCTCAGTTGTGGCATTTGTTGAACTTAAATTTGCTGTGTTTGTTGAACTTGAGTTTGTGGCGTTTGTTGAACTTGAGTTTGTGGTGTTTGTTGAACTTGAGTTTGTGGGAATTGCTGAACTTGAGTTTGTGGTGTTTGTTAGGCTTGAAGTTGTGGTGTTCGTTCAACTCTAAGTTGTGGCATTTGTTGAACTTGAATTTGCTGTGTTTGTTGAACTTGAGTTTGTGGCGTTTGTTGAACTTGAGTTTGTGGTGTTTGTTGAACTTGAGTTTGTGGTGTTTGTTGAGCTTGAAGTTGTGGCATTTGTTGAACTTGAATTTGTGGGGTTTGTTGAACTTGAAGTTGTGGTGTTCATTAAACTCTAAGTTGTGGCATTTGTTGAACTTGAATTTGCTGTGTTTGTTGAACTTGAGTTTGTGGTGTTTCTTGAACTTAAATTTGTGGTGTTTGTTGAATTTAAGTTTTTGGCGGTTGTACATGAAGTTTTTGGCAATTGTTGAACTTGAGTTCATGGCTTTTGCTTAACTTGAGTTTGTGGCGTTTTTTGAACTTGAGTTCATGGCAATTGTTGAACTTGAGTTTGTTGCATGTTTGATTGTGAGTTTTTGCAATTGTTCAATTGTTAAACTTGAGTTTGTGGTGTTTTTTGCAATCAAGTTTTGTGGTGTTTATTTGACTATAGTTTTTGCTGTTTGTTGAACTTAAAGTTGTGATGATTGTTGAACTTGAGTTTGTGGTGTTTGTTGAACTTGAATTTGTGGCATTTGTTTAGCTTTAGTTTGTGGCGTTTGTTGAACTTCAGTTTGAGGTGTTTGTTGAACATAATATTGTGGCATTTGTTGAACTTCACTTTGTGGTGTTTTTTGCACTCAAATTTGTGGTGTTTCTTGGACTTGAGATTACAGTGTTTGAACTTGAAGTTGTGACGTACGTTGTACTTGAGTTTGTAGTGTTTGATGAACTTGAGTTTTTGCTGTTTGTTAAACTTTAAGTTGTGGCACATGTTGAACTTGTATTGGTGGCTTTGTTGAACTTGAGATTGTGGTTTTTGTTGAACTTGTGTTTTTGGCATTTGTTGAAATTGAAGTTGCGACAATTGTTGAATTTGGGTTTGTGGTGTTTGTTAAACCTGAGTTTGTGGTATGTATAAATTTGAGTTTGTAGTTTGGTTGAACTTGAGTTTTGGAGTTTGTTGACCTTGAGAATCTGGCGTTTGTTGAACTTGAAGTTGTGCTATTTGTTGAACTTGAGATTGGGCTCTTTTTTGAACTTGCGTTTGTGCTGTATTTTGAACTTGAGTTTGTGGTGTTTGTTGAACTTGAGTTTGATGTGTTTGCTGAACGTTAGTTCATGGCTTGTATTGAATTTGAGTTTGTGGCATTTGTTAAACTTGAAGTTGTGGAAATTGTTGCTGTTTAGTTGTGGCTTTTATGAACTTGAGTTTGTGATGTTTGTTGAACCTGAGTTTCTGTTGTTTGTTGAACTTGAGTTATTGGCATTTTTTAACTGGAGTTTGTGGCAATTGTTGAACTTGAGTTTGTGGCAATTGTCGAACTTGAGTTTGTGGCATTTGTTAAACTTGAGTGTGTGGCATTTTTTGAACTTGCATTTGTGGCATTTGTTGAACTTGAATTTGCTGTGTTTGTTGAACTTAAGTTTGTGGCAATTGTTGAACTTGAGTTTGTGGCATTTGTTGAACTTGAGTTTGTGGCATTTGTTGAACTTGAAGTTGTGGTGTTTCGTGGAACTTGAAGTTGTGGTGTATGTTGCACTTGAGTTTGTGGCCTTTGTTTGACTTAAAGTTTTGGTTTTTGCTTAACTTGAGCTTGAGGCAATTGTCAACGTTGAGTTTGTGGCATGTTTGAACTTGAGATTTTGGGCTTTGTTGAACTGAGATTTGTTGCATTTCTTGTACTTGAACTTGTGGCATTTGTTGAACTTGAGTTTGCAGTGTTTGTTGAGCTTTAAGATATGGTGTATGTTGAACTTGAGTTCAAGGTGTTTTTTCAACTCGAGGTTGTGGCCTCTGTTGAACTTAAAAATGTGGCATTTATTTAACTTAAGTTTGCTGTGTTGAACTTGAGTTTGTGGGAATTGCTGAACTTGAGTTTGTGGCGTTTGTTGAGCTTGAAGTTGTGGCATTTGTTTAACTTGAATTTGCTGTGTTTGTTAAACTTAAAGTTGTGTTGTTCATTAAACTCTAAGTTGTGGCATTTGTTGAACTTGAATTTGCTGTGTTTGTTGAACTTGAGTTTGTGGCGTTTGTTGAACTTGAGTTTGTGGGAATTGCTGAACTTGAGTTTGTGGTGTTTGTTGAGCTTGAAGTTGTGGCTTTTGTTGAACTTGAATTTGTGGGGTTTGTTGAACTTGAATTTGCTGTTTTTGTTGAACTTGAGTTTGTGGCATTTGTTGAACTTGAAGTTGTGGCATTTGTTGAACTTGAGTTTGTGGTGTTTGTTGAGCTTGAAGTTATGGTGTTCATTAAACTCTAAGTTGTGAAAAATTTTGGAACTTGAGTTTGCTGTGTTTTTTTAACTTGAGTTTTTGGCATTTGTAGAACTTGAGTGGCATTCGTTGAATTTGAGTTTGTGGCGTTTTTTCAATTCGAGGTTGTGGCCTCTTTTGAACTTAAAGTTGTGGCATTTATTTAACTTAAGATTGCTGTGTTTTTTGAACTTGGGTTTGTGGTGTTTGTTGAACTTGAGTATGTGACATTTTTGGACTTGAATTTGTGGTGTTTCTTGAACAAAAGTTATTCACATGTTGGATTGTGAGTTTTTGCAATTGTTAAACTTGAGTTTGTGGCGTTTCTTGAACTTGATTTTGTGGCAAATGTTGAACTTGAGTTCATGGCTTTTGTTGAACTTGAGTTTGTGGTTTTTGTCGAATTTGAGTTTGTGGTGTTTGTTGAACTCGAGTTTGGTGTTTGTAAAACCCAAGTTTGGGGCAATTGTTGAACTCGAGTTTGTGGCGTTTTTTGAACTTCAGTTTGTGGTGTTTGTTGAACTTGAAGTTGTGGCATTTGTTAAACTTGAGTTTGTGGTGTTTTGCAATCAAGTTTTGTGGTGTTTATTGGTCTTGAGATTTTGGTGTTTGTTGAATTTGAAGTTGTGACGATTGTTGAACTTGAGTTTGTGGTATGGTTGAACTTGAGTTTGTGGCATGTTTGAACTTGAATTTGTGGCATTTGTTTAGCTCTAGTTTGTGGCATTTGTTGAACTTCAGTTTGAGGTGTTTGTTGAACATAATATTGTGGCATTTGTTGAACTTCAGTTTGTGGTGTTTTTTGCACTCAAATTTGTGGTGTTTCTTGGACTTGAGATTACGGTGTTTGAACTTGAAGTTGTGACGTATGTTGAACTTGAGTTTGTGGTGTTTGATGAACTTGAGTTTGTAGTGTTTGATGAACTTGAGTTTTTGCTGTTTATTAAACTTTAAGTTGTGGCACATGTTGAACTTGTATCGGTGGCTTTGTTGAACTTGAGATTGTGGCATTTTTTGAACTTGTGTTTTTGGCATTTGTTGAAATTGAAGTTGCGACAATTGTTGAATTTGGGTTTGTGGTGTTTGTTAAACTTGGGTTTGTGGTATGTATAAATTTGAGTTTGTGGTATGGTTGAACTTGAGTTTTGGTGTTTGTTGACCTTGAGATTCTGGCTTTTGTTGAACTTGAAGTTGTGTTATTTGTTGAACTTGAGATTGAGACGTTTTTTGAACTTGAGTTTGTGGCATTTTCTTGAACTTGAATTTGCGGCAATTTTTGAACTTGAGTTCATGGCTTTTCTCTTACTTCAGTTTGTGGTGTTTGATGAACTTGAAGTTGTGGCATTTGTTAAACTTGAGTTTTAGGTGTTTTGTGCAATCAAGTATCGTGGTGTTTGTTGGACTTGAGTTTATTGTGTTTGTTGAACTTGAAATTGTGACGATTGTTGAACTTGAGTTTATGGTGTTTGTTGAACTCGAGTTTGTGGCATGGTTGAACTTGGGTTTGTGGTGTTTTTTAAGCTCCAGTTTGTGGCAATTGTTGAACTTGAGCTTTTGGCGTTTATTGAACTTGAGTTTTTGGCAATTGTTGAAATTGAGGTCACGGCTTTCTTTGAACTTGAGTTTGTGGCGTTTTTTGAACTTGAATTTGTGGCAATTGTTGAACTTGGGTTTGTGGTGTTTCCTGAACTTGAATTTGTGGTGTTTTTTTAACTTGAGTTTTTCGCATGTTGGGTTGTGAGTTTTTGCAATTGTTCTATTGTTAAACATGAGTTTGTGGTGTTAATTGAACTTGAGTTTTGGGGGTTTGTTGAACTTGAAGTTGTGGCAACTTTTGAACTTGTGTTCATCACTTTTGTTGAACTTGAGTTTGTGGCGTTTGTTGAACTTGAAGTTGTGGCAATTGTACTTGACTTCATGGCTTTTGTTAAGTTTGAGTTTGTGGCATTTTCTTGAACTTGAAGTTGTGGCAATTGTTGAACTTAAGTTCATGGCTTTTGTTGAACTTGAGCTTGTGGTGTTTGTTGAACTTGAGTTTGTGGTGTCTGCATTTGAGGTTTTGTTATTTGTTAAACCCAAGTTTGTGGCAATTGTTGAACTTGAGTTTGTGGTGTTTGTTGAACTTGAAGTCGTGGCATTCGTTAAACTTCAGTTTGTCATGTTTTTTGCACTCAAATTTGTGGTGTTTCTTGGACTTGAGTTTATGGTGTTTGAACTTGAAGTTGTGACGTATGTTGAACTTGAGTTTGTGGTGTTTGACAAACTTGAGGTTGTGGTGTTTGTTGAACGTTAGATTGTGGCACTTTTTGAACTTGTGTTTTTGGCATTTGTACAAATTGAAGTTTCTGCAATTTTTGAATTTGGGTTTGTTGTGTTTGTTAAACTAGAGTTTGTGGTATGTTTGAATTTAAGTTTGTGGTACAGTTGAACTTGAGTTTTGGTGTTTGTTGACCTTGAGATTCTGGCTTTTGTTGAACTTGAGGTTGTGTTATGTGTTGAATTTGAGATTGTGGTGTTTGATGAACTTGAGTTTGTGCTGTTTGTTGAACTTGAAGTTATGTTATTTTTTGACTTGAGTTTTTAGCGTTTTTTGAATTTGAGATGAACTTGTGTAATGTCATTTGTTGAACTTGAAGTTGCGACAACTGTTGAATTTGGGTTTGTGGTGTTTGTAAAACTTGAGTTTAAGGTTTGTTTGAACATAAGTTTGTGGTATGGTTGAACTTGACTTTTGGTGTTTGATGACATTGAGATTCTGGTGTTTGTTGAACTTGAAGTTGTGGTCTTTGTTGAACTTGAGATTGAGGTGTTTATTGAACTTGATTTTTTGGCAATTGTTGAACGTGAAGTTTTTGGCAATTGTTGAAATTGAGGTCATGGCCTTCTTTGAACTTGAGTTTGTGGTGTTTTTTGAACTTGAATTTGTGGCAATTGTTGAACTTGGGTTTGTGGTGTTTCCTGAACTTGAATTTGTTGTGTTTTTTGAACTTGAATTCGTGGCAATTGTTGAAGTTTTTCGCATGTTGGATTGTGAGTTTTTGCAATTGTTCAATCGTTAAACTTGAGTTTGTGGTGTTAATTGAACTTGAGAGCGTAGCTGCTAAGCAGCTGCGAGAGCCCTATTATTCCTGTATGGTTCTTCTTTCTTTCTTTCCTATTTTTCCTCCCCTTGTACTGGAAAATGGCCCACTTCCCACTGGCGAAAACTCATGAAATTTGGCAGGACAACCGGGCCTGGTGAAAAATTTGATATTCTGAAGTCGCCCAAACAATAAAATGTAAAATGGCTCCATAGCGCCCCCTAAGGTGAAAAATTCACCTGACGCCTGTACGCTTTGTCATATTGACACAAAATTTGACACACATGTGTATTTCAATAAGATCTACAAAAAAGTCATGCGGGCGTATCTGTCAAATGTACGGTTAAAGGGCTATTTCGCATTTTTTGCCGATCCGCACACATTGGAATTTCGCTAACTCCTCCGAAGGCTTTCGTTCCACCGGCACCAAATTTGCTCAGGCCAATCTACACTTCATGGCCATTCAAAGTTGTACAAATCATGACGCTGCACCCCATGGTTTAGGTTCTAGGGGGCGCCAAAAATAACCCAAAAATCCACATTCTTAAAAGTTTTATAACTTTTTATTTTTGTCCTCACTGGCCTCCAAGTTTCCTAGGATGATGCAATGTCCAGCCATCAACACATTTGTGAAGGAATTTTTACTCCCCAAAAGTGCGCCCCCCCATGGCAGGACAAAAAAAACAATTTTTTCTTGTCCTCTAAGGTGAAAATACACATTGTTGAGATTCACGCCTGTACGCTTTGTCATATTGACAAAAAATTTGACACACGTGTATATCAATAAGATCTATGAAAAAGTCAATGTGCACGTATCTGTAAAATGTATGGTTAAAGGGCTATTTCGCATTTTTTGCCGATTCGCACACATTGGAATTTCGCTAACTCCTCCTAAGGTTTTTGTCCCACTGACACCAAATTTGCTCAGGCCAATCTACAATCCATGGCCATTCAAAATTGTAAAAATCATGACGCTGCACCCCACGGTTTATGTTCTAGGGGGCGCCAAAGATGACCCAAATATACATTACAGCAGACAAAGTAGTTTTGGCCACTGAGTGGCGCCAAAGGGAGTTGTCTATTAACAGCAGACAAAGTAGTTATGGCCACTGAGAAGCACACATTTGAGATATGCTATAATCCTAACATATTTTAATGCTTTTTCTATTTAAACCTAATGGATCTAAGGTTTGACTTTCAAAATTTAGGAAGAATATGTTTTTGCAGTAATGACCCCCTTAAACAACCAGAGGTCCTTTCCTAAAGTTTATGGAAATTTAGTGAAGGCCCTGGTTTCTTTCCTTGCAAAATGCATAGAAATAATAAAGCTAAATACCATAAAATGGTCTTGGCGTATTAGCAGTGATATAAAATAGTGGTTTGAATATGAATGAACAACAAAAAAAACATCAACAGAGCCTTTTTGAGTTGGGATTCTTTCATTATCACACAAAAACAGACATAGACAGACATCTAAATGGTAAGGGAGTGATCAGCCCCCCTGACTCTCAGATGAATCTTCAAAATTCACCTCAGAAATATGCTTATTATTCTTCTCAGAGTACTGCAGGATACACACACACACACACACACACACACGCACGCACGCACGCACGCACGCACGCACGCACGCACGCACGCACACACACACACACACACACACTCAGAGTCTGTATTTTAGCACCTGCAAAAACATGCTATTTACATATTTGACAAGAATGCAGAGGCTCCTTTTGCCCCTGAAAAAAATCAAATTTCAAAACAACTTGACGGGTCATTTCTCCAAAAGACAACCATGAAGCTCCATCCAAACCTGAAGCAGGCAGTTGGTGCATGTGTACAGTAACCTGAGGGGAGTGAGGTGACTGCTTCTGAGGAGAACATGAGCAGTGAAGATTCACCTTGGAGCTAGAACAGGGACGTGCACATGATTATACAGGGACAGGGGCTCAAGTTTTTTCCAGTCGTTTATACAATATGGAAATTAATGTGAAATTAAAACACAAAGTATTAATAGAAAGGTAATGACTGTCCTGTGTAGGTGACAGTGATATCCAATAGGCTAGGCACTCATGAGGCTGGCTGTGGCAAGGGTAAGTGAAAGCAACACGCACTGGCAGGAAGAACAGCAAACGCCGATGAAGGAAAAGGATCTTTGCAGTGATGGGCGTCACCAGAGAGGGCGACAGCCAAAGGACGTGAATGGGACAGGGAGGCGGTCGCGCTGGGGGCGGCGCGACGCGGCTCGGGCCCGCCAGTGCCCCAACGGGGCCCTAGTTGAAGTCACTCCGAAGTCACATGACAAACATGCACCACTGGGTATCTGGTAAGACCATGATTAAGTGTGAGCACCCTCCGTACACACCTGAGGAAGAGAGTCAGCGTCCATGGCTCCTACCTAGCTCTGTAGAGTTCCGGCATCTGCAGAAGATTGTTCTTAACAAGCTGCTCCTGAAGAAACTGGAGAAAACTACACTGGGCATTTACATGGGACAGCTAGACGGCTGTAACAAAACAAAATGTGCAAAAAGTGAAGTGGTATGAATACTTTCTGGATGCACTGTAAGTTTGCATTCAATGCAACATATTTCCACATGGCTGTGTGGAGGTGTTTAAACTTGTCCTTTAGAAAATTATAGGTCGTTAGGTTTTTATACTTCATCCCTCGTGTTTGCTTCCACGCTTAGTTATGGGCTCAGAGCCAGACCATAACAATTTTCTAAAGGGAGTATCCATTATTGCTCAATGACTACTCAGCAAAATTATTTTTGAGAGAAAAAAATGATCAATTCTTCAATTTGTTTAATCATCAACATGTATGCTTGACAATAGTATAACAATAGATACTAGACAGCTGTATAACAACAGCAATATAACATTGTATAACAAAGAAAAAAAATGGCCACATTTTGCATCCCTAATAGGCATGAGAACCTTCTTCATCATATACATATATATATATATTTATATATTTATATATATATATATATATATAGGCCAACTGTAATCCCTGGTACACTGTGGAGGAAAAAATGTTTATGATGGAGCTGACCACGCACACTGGAATTGAAATGCAGTTCCTCCACCCCAGATAAGAATAAGAATAAGAAGAACTTTAGTGTTCCCTGGAGGGAAATTCAATTGTCTGTCATCTCAGTTGTCACGTCTGTAAAATTCTTCTACTATTTACATTAGAGTTGTAAAGTCTGATGGCTGTGGGGACAAAAGATCTTCTGAATATTTCTGTCCTGCAGTGAAAAGAGAGGAGCTGTCCACCACCATTGGCCCTCTGGTACATTAAGGTGTTGTGAAGTGGGGGGTTTAAGTTCTTTAGAGCATGGCCATTTTATCCTCTGGCCCAAAGGGTGAACTGCCTGTAGGCAGTCAGCCTGAAGAGACTGATAAAACAGAAATGTACTAGTTAAAAGTAAGTGTATATAATATTTTTGAAAACAAGTGATAACATCTTTATCATTTATATATCTCCAATTCCCAACAGGTCCTATCTATCTATCTATCTATCTATAATGAGCAGTAGCCCATTATGTGTTAGTTACTTATACGTTTAATTTTTGGTGAACAAAATAAAATTCCTGCCCAGTCTAGACTTACTAGAAGCGGCGAACTACTAGTACTATCATTGTTAGCTAACAGCTGTTAGCATCAATGAGCTAGTGCTGGCTTTAGCAAGCTAGCAATATAAATATGGTCAATTAATGTTAAACAGTATGTTTAAAAAACTGCACATGAAATGTTGTTGGCACTGTACACTAACATCCCTGTCTCTGGCCAATACCATGTAGTGAGTAGTTTTCAGTTAACTTTGGTTTGACTTACCTGCTGTTGATGGGACACACCACAGTCTCCACTCAGATGTCTCTCAGGGACAGTATTACCACCTCCAGCAAATACACCTCTCGACATAGCATGTTATTGGAGCGGTCCATCGTTATGCATGTCTGGCCAAGCAATAAAGGGTCCAGATCGGCCTATTGGCAGACAACATATTCCACCATGGTGGGCACCACCATGCACCTGCCACACCGACACCAGGTTGTGTTACCGAGCCGCTCCTCCCTAAAAACACCTGGCTCCACCATAACTTCTTTCTCCCTCACCTCCCCCGTTCGGTTCCCCCGTCTTATAGGCTCGAAGGCAGTCGCCATGGGGTTGTTGCTTACTTCCACAGTACTTTCAACCTTGTCATCGTCCATTTTCATTCAAAATAAAATTTCAACCATGACCACACCACTAGTAACAAAACATGGGAATTTCATTTCCACTTTAATGTAAATAAAATTTGACATGAAATAACAAAAACAAACACAACTTTTAAAGACAACATATCAATTTGTCATCATGGCGACCTTTGCTTTGTATATACAAATGTAGGCAAAGCGTGATTGACATGCACAATGAATGGGAAATGTTGGGGATGGGGTTGACTGTTAGAGTTAGGGTCTGTGTAAGCATTTCTGGTTAGTTTTGGGCCCAGGGGTGAGCGTTAGGGTCATTTTGAGTGGTAAGAGTTAGGGTGAAGGTAAGGGTTACTGTTATGGGGTTGGGATATGATAAGGGTAAATTTTAGGTTATGGGGAAGAAAGACGCATTGGCCCCTTTTTTGAAAAGAGCCGGAGCCCATAACTTTTAATTGGATTATCCTTTTGACTTCCAACCCAGCCCTACCACTACTCAGGCCAAGCTCCTTGTAATGATGGTAGTCCTTCTCTGCTGCCAGAGTGTAAAGTTGGAATTTGACATTTTTTTAAATAAATTGCTTGTATCTAAGGAACAAATTGTCAAAGAGACTTGTGGTAGGCACCATTGGAACGGGTCGCGTGAATTAGGGTACACTCCAACTACACTCCAACAAATATCAAATTTTAGTACCTCAACCTTGCTCCACCCATAGGCTTTTCTATGTACTGTATTATACTTAAGAAACACCACACATGAAATGTTGAACATACTGAAACACACATACTTAGCCATCACATGGCAGAACAGCAGTATAAAACATTGTACAAACTCATGAGATTTGGACATTGTATGTGCTTAACATAGACTGTATATACTATGGACAACTTGGTCCCGCCTACCGCCTGTATACGAATTTGAAGCCGAATAGCTCTCGGTATTTCCAGGATTTTTTTTCATTTCCTGAAACCAGCGCTGCGCAGTAGCAATGCGCACATTCGGCCACGTAGTCGCAGAGAGTTGCTGTGATAACACTCAGCTCAAACAGCATATCCCCCGGGAGAGCTACGCAATCCCAGAACACCCATAGGCTGTATCAGGTGTCAATCATAGCGAACATGAACCCCCTAATAACTTTTAAAAATGGAGCTTCACGGAAAAAAAGAGGACTTGAGCATAAACCAGTCTTACAATAACTACATGTCAACATCACAAGCAGGCGGGAGAAAAGGAGGGGAGGCGAGATTTATGACCTATACTGCAGCCCATCAACAGAGGGTGCTGTTCTCGGAGTGGCTTCACCCAGCGAGGAGGCAGACTCTGTCCATTCTATATACAGTCTATGGTGCTAAACACTGGATAAACAGAATTTCAGAGGGACATTTTATGTCCATACATCACAGCAATGTCATGGATTATCCATCCTAACAGCCCTTTTTGATGCTTATGGGCAAGCTACTCATGCCATTCAATAACTCTGAGATCGTCTACCAGGAAGTCCTCTGTACAATTCAGGCCTTCTCAGTATGTGCATCTGTTTGGGCATCGACATATGACACACTGTGATTGACAGTGAAATGGGTGTAACCTAGCTGAGCCTGAGCCTGAGCGAAAGCATTGCGATAAGCCTGTCACTTATCACTTTTTATTGTAGATCCCACTTCAACATGATGAGCTATTTGTGGCACCAGATTTCCCTTCTTCTTTCAACTAAGTGAAGAACAGGCTTTGCATGTCTTCTCCCTCTGCAGTTCACACCTAGCATCCCAACCACCCACTTCTTCCTCTTCCAGCCACCAGCCATTTGTCCCCATCCATACTGTTGAAAACATAAAATATTAGGAATTATTCCTCTTTAAACAAAATAAATAATCTGTCATTTAATGGTAATTTGCATTATTAGCTTGATAATAGTGCATGCTGCTTGCCTTTCCTTTGTGTCTGAAGTGGCTCTCATCAATGGTGACAAACTGCTGCCGCCCCCCAATACTGGCCTGTTGCTTGCTGATATCTGTCCATCCCAGTAGCGCCCACATCTTGCAGCTTATGAGCCATCTTGGAGAGGGTTGATGAGCTTCCAGAAATGTCATAATTGATGATGTCCACTTCACGTAGATTCAAGCATTGTGCAAATCTGATAGAACAAGGTAAATAATTATTGTTCTTTTGACCCTTTTGTCAAACAAAGTTTGCATCTACTGCACCCCAGGATATGAAAATTGTCCACTACTGTGTAGACAAAAACAGCAATAATGTTGGGAAATGTGTTTTGCGGTATTTTCTACAGAGCCCTGTCAATACATTTGGGACTAATAATACTGTGGGATATCTGTAAAATCCTATTTCTCATATGAATTGCCAGAGCCTATAGATTGAGAGAGCCAATTGCCATTGAGCTTCAAGAGGCAGGGTCAGACACTCATGTTGCTCCACCAGGCCTAATACTAACCAACGCAGCATCCCATAAGTAACAGCAATTAAACAAATTTCCATAAATAAACTGTTAAGAATTCAAGCTGTATATCACAAAAGTGAAATAACTCCAAGCACCCGTTTTCATCATGAGTCTAGAGATGCTCCATAACATAATAATCACAAGCTTTACTACATAGTCTCCTGTCATTTTTTATGACAGCATAGTTATACAGTATTTCTATTGAGATAAACACTTTTCATCTGTTGGGTCTTAAACCTGCCCAAATACCTGAAAACATATAAAGAAGAGAAAGACAATGGTATATGCTCGAGGAGAATGGACAGAGATAGCATCAGGTAAAATCTCAGAACCACTCTGAAGGTGGTTTTCTGTCCCCCCTCTTTTATTTAGGGTTGTCCCTGGTTACACAGTGTTTCTAAAGATATATGATGTGTAACAAGAGGTCAAAACAGTTTATACCTGTAGTAAACTCTCACATAAGAATATGAGGAATAATGATAACTTCTATATACATTTATGCACATTATTCTAACATCATCATAGACAGACAGACTAAAATCATATACTGTACCTATGCTATAGCATACCTGTACACAAAGTGCATCCATTTATGGAGGGAGACCTTTCAAATGCTGAAAATAGATTTGCGTCTAATTGACCTGTTCAGTCTTCTCCCTGTAGTTATGGTGTTTGCAAACCCTTAACACTAGAAGGACCGGCTTTTTGCTGTTCTACCTATAAAGACCAGAGGGCAGCCAAATGGCTTGGAGGGCTTTTAGCTAGTACTAAATCACCTCTGAACACTCAGTTTGTTATGCAAACGAGGCTATCGCTGGTGCACCACAGGAGGGGATATGCTAAGTTATTTCAAGGAAACTTGTGTTGTGGGGAGAGTGAGTGGGGAGGGGGAGGGGAGTTTCCAACCTGAGAACAACTGTAGACAGAAACTGCTTCAGCCATAGCCACTGCACAGACAGTTTGGGCCTCTGTTTGTTTTGTTTGGTTCTACTTCTCCTGATGTTCCTGCACCTCAGCAGATGCCCCAGCGGTCGGTCCACGGACAAAAACTGTTTGTACTTTATATTAATGACATTGTAAATGTATCTAAATTGTTAAATTGCATACTGTTTGCATATGACACTACATTTTTTATACTCTGGTGAAGCTGTTGAGAGTATGAATGTGAGAATGACCATAACGACTCAGGTGAATGCAACCAGTCCCATTCACAGGATCACTATTTGATTGACAATTTATCACATTTTCTGGTTTGCTGGTGAGCAAACCTGGGAAACCCCCAGATCATGGCAACCATGCCCCGAAATCGCTTCAAAGACATCATGCGACACCTACGCTTTGATGACAGGGACACCCGCAGTGAGCGCACAAAGACTGACAAGTTTGCTGCAATTTCTGCTGTGTGGTCGTCATTTGTCACCAACTGCATCACATCCTACAACCCTGGTCGACACATCACCATTGACGAACAGCTTTTCCCCTCAAAGACTCGCTGCTGTTTCCTGCAGTACATTGCAACGAAACCTGACAAGTTTGGGATCAAGTTTTGGGTGGCTTGTGACTTGAAATCCAAGTACATCTGCAATGTCCTCCCATATCTTGGCAAGGACCCCAGTCGTCCCAGTGGGGAGAGACTGTCCGAGAATGTAGTCATGAGGCTGATGGAACCATTCCTGGACAAGGGCAGAAATGTTACCACGGACAATTTCTTTACATCACTGTCACTTGCGCAACAACTGCTTAGGCGGAAAACCACCATCCTAGGCACAGTCAACAAGATTCGCCAGGAAATTCCACAGTCATCTAGACAGAGGGACTGCAATGAACCTTACAATGCTACAAAGTGCAGCGTGGATGTGATGGACCAGATGGTGCGGGAGTACACTGTCCGCACAGGAACATGGCGCTGGGTCAACAGTCAACACATCGCTGTGCGATGTGTTGACTGCTACAGATACACATGTGGGAAATGCAGAAGGGAGATACCATGGCAGTGCCAGGATTGTTAGTGAGAGTCTAACACTGTATCCTGATGATGCATATTCACCTGAAGTCCATCACCAACCTTTTTATACTTTATATATGTCCTGCATGCTCTTGTTATTTTCTATTCTTGTATTTTACATATTATTCTCCGTTTAATGTTGCAACATCACGCCGTAAAAAATCCTAGCATTGTACATAGCCTTTCATACTTTTATTCTTTATATATGTCCTGCATGCTCTTATTTTTTATTCTTGTATTTTACATATTATACTCTGTTTAATGTTGCACCATCACGCCGTACAAAAAATTCCTAGTCTGTGAAACCTGTTCATTGACAATAGCAATAAAACCCCTTGTGATTCTGATTCTGATTCTTGTTCTTATTCTATACAGTTGTTTAAATTTTGTTTATTTTTAATCAATAAATTTCAGCAACAAAGTAAACAACCCATGTGTGTTGATCCCTTTCTTTCTGTTGTCCCTTCCCACTGCATACACCACTTAGTCCAGTCCCCTCCTGTGGTGCACCAACGATCACCTCATTTGCATAACAAAATGAGTGCTCACAGGTGATTTAGGATATTAGCTAAAATCCTTCCAGCCGATCGGCTGCCCCGTGGACCTTGAGGGGGGTAAAGCCAAATGGCTGCTCTGTGGTCCTTCTAGTGTTAAGATATATACAAATAAAAATAATAATAATACAGGCCAGGGTACTGGCTAGAGGAGTGATTCTCAAACATTTTCAATTCAAGGACCCCCAAATTAATGTGTCATTGGCCATGGACCCCATCTGAAAATATTATGTGCCAGGAACCCCCATAAAATGTGTGTTAATATATTTCAAAAGTGCTGAAATTTTTTTCAGTATTTTTTTCTGAAAATAGCAGATCTGTAAGCTCAAAACGTTTTAAAGTGTTGTGATCTTGTAGATTAGTATTAAGTAGTGTAGTGTATAGTGGTGTATTTCTAGAAATGAGTGTTAACATGAATTAAGATGTATTGGGCACTCTTATCAGCTCACGATTAAATAGATTTCATTTTCCCTATAATTCTGGACCAAAACACCCATTTATGTTGGCATTTCATGCAATAAAACAAACTTACCATGCATAGTTGTCCATACAAACTGATTTCTTGAATTGTATCTTGTCTTCTCTCAGATTTAGTTCTGCCTTCAATGAGCTCTCTTAGCTCAGTGGCTAAACCAGGCATTATTTGGCTACGATATCACAATATGACTTCATTAGGGCCTACTTATTTTCAACAGCGGGTAATTCCAGTAAAAAGGAGATGACACCTGTGGACAATGCTGTGCACATGGGCAACAACAATGAGGGTAAGCAAGACTGCATGTAATCTTGTCATTATAGATGTTCTCAGGATAACATAAGTGCTTGCCAAACTATTCCTGATTTACAAACAGTTAATAAATGCGGAATAGTTGCAACTTTAGAATAATGTCCCAATAACATGTATAAACTAGCAACTGATACTTAACAAGTCATTAGTAAGTAATTTACTATTAGCTTGGTCATGATGTTTTACTAATTTATTTGGTATAGTTATAAATCATTAACATACAGTTAACAAGTCATTCATAACTCACTTACAGCTTGTAAGTTATCTATACAATAAGGCCCAGTTATAAATATTTAACAAACTATAACTGTTATTTAACAAGTCATGTAAAGATAATTAACAGTTTATTAATGGTCTATTAACTTTCTTTAAGGTATCATAATAAATCCTTACAAACTGTTAAACACTGAACGAGTCATTGATAACTTAATAATTAACAGTTTACTAATGATCTTTTAACTAGTAATGGAAAGTTATTATAAAGTTACCCAGCTCCTTCTGATACATATCACGATAGCAGTGTCATCTGAGTATTTCTGGATGTGGCAGGACATAGTGCTGTATTTGAAGTCTGACGTATACACTGTGAACATGAAAGGAGCCAGGACTGTCCCTTGTGAAGCCCCTGTACTGCTCATTCATGTCCCAGAAACACAGTTCCAATTATTATTATTAGTATTATTATTATTATTATTATTATTATGTTGCAAGAGCAATAATAATCAAACAACATCAAGTTGAGTAAGTACAAGAAATCCTGTGAATCCAAGAGCAAGATAGTAAGATAGCTTCATCATATTTCCTTGACTTGGCTTTTTGTTGGTTTGGCCTACCGTCAGCTAGGCATGCTGTATTGCTGGCTTCAGCTTTTCTTTTCATGCCTGTCAAATATCTCTCCATTCTGTACTTTTATATACAATTTATTATTCTGATCTGAACACAGTTGCTGGTTGTTACGGTGACAGGTGAAAGCGCGGGTTGTCCGCCGCTAAAAAAATTCTGACGTCCAAACATTGCTTCCGCGGCACGGTCTGCACAACGTGAAATGGAGCAGCTTCAGCTCCTCTCGGGGCTCTCCACAGCGAGAGGAGCGGAGCAGCTGCTGGCATAGCACGGCGTCGGTGGTGTAGCGATTTCAAATTCAAAATAAATGTCGAGAATTAATCAAATTAAATTATGACATTTATGCACTCGTTGAAGGGGCACCACCCACCTTTCTGGTGGGAAAAGGACGAAACAAAGTTCAATTGAGTAATTAAACGTTGGATCAGTCTTAAACAGATTTAAATCAGTCTCTCATCTGAGGCCGGAATTCTTCATTCAGGGACTACTTTCTGAAAGACCACT